TCTGACTTACATACAGATTCAACTTAAGAACCCCAGGCGTCCCCAAGTCAGCTGCTGCTGAAACTGACCAGCGGCTGATTCCAGGAAGCCAGGGGCAGAGCAACTCTACCTCAGGCTTCCTGTAGTCAGCCGCTGGTCAGTTTCAGCAGCGGATGAATCTGGACGCCAGTTCCGACTTACATACAAATTCAACTTAAGAACAAACCTACAGTCCCGATCTTGTACGTAACCCGGGGACCGCCTGTAGTTGAAAAGGGCCCTAGATGTTTGAGGCCTTTGGACGAGAGGTGCTATGCAAAGGTGCAGAGTTGTTGTTTGTTACAGAAGTTCCCTGCAGTGCATCGCAATTTTTTTTTCTGGATTTGACCTAGACTTCAGAGGGTTGCTTTTTCATCATGGATATTCGCAATTCCATGGGTCATGCTCCTGAAGGGCAAGCGTTTGCACCGGTGAACTTGGCCAAACATATTACCTTCTCCTCCTACTTGGTGCTCTGCATTCCAGAGAGAGCTGCTGCTCATTGTTGGGTTTCCTCCTTTCTACACCTACCCGGACAGTACAATTTGGTATCTGGTTATATAAAATAGACGTGGGGGGGGAGGGGGAGCCTAATATGCTGATGTGGCATAATGCAAAGCCATGGGCACAAGTTGGATGGTGATGCGGCTCCTCGGTGTATTCTGTCGCCATGTTTTTCAGAGACCCTTATTTTGAAATGTTCTAGACACGTACTGATACTTGTAATGTGTGGAGGGTTTATTCCTCGGCTTGTTATGCCCGGCTGCCTTGCAGGCTCCTGTCCTGAGCCTTGAGAGGAGAGGAAAGTACACGTTTCTACGCTTTACTAAAAGAAACTTTATTCCTACCTGGGCTGTTGTGTTTCCAAATGCTGCCGTCTAGTGACCTGCACAGCTGTCCCCCATTGTGGTGCCGCTCTCCTTCCCAGCTGAAGTGGTGCAAGAGACTGGCCTGCAAAATTCTAACTGGTTCAGGACTGGATATCGCTGGCCTGCACATCAGGACAGTGTTTTCCTAAGGAGGAAAAACTTACCGGGGGGAGGGGGAGGGGGAAGAGAAGCACTTCCATCTGCTACTTGAAAACTTGCCAGAGGTTTGCCGTGGGAGAGAGTCCCAGCAGGGATGAATGAATTAGTGGGCATCACCCAGCTGAGGTGGTTAATGAAAGATGCACGTATATTATAGTAAAACTTCTGGACTCTGGGCTGTTGCCACCAGCTCAGCCCTGAATAGCACCTCTGTGCAGGCAGCATTGCTGAATGTGCAAACGAGGGTATTTTAAACAGGCCGTGTTGGTTGTCGAGTGGTTTTATTTTTTGGATGGGTTAGTAATGCGCAGAGGCATGCACCTTGTGTGGCAGAGGAGGGGACGCACTGCGTGTCTGACAGATGGAATCTCTGTGTGTGCATGCACTATGCTTGTGCTTTACATGACAAGTATCGACTTCATCCTGCTCAGCAGATAGGAAGGAAACCGGGTGGTTAAGCATTGAGGATTTTCCCTTCTGCAGTGCATCCTTCAGTGCTTTTTATTTTTTTGTTTTAAAGCCTGGACCCCCAAAGGGGTTTTGTTGCAGTCCGGCTGTGTGAAAGCTATTTTGTTTTCAGATGCCACAGCGCCCTTAGTGGAAGAGAGAGCACATGAAGATCGCATTGCAGCTCGGCAGCACATGGAGATCCCTGAAGGAACTACAGGTGAAGCGACCATATGGCCTTCTGGGGAACGAAGAGCGAGTGTCAAAGTGTGGCTGGCAGCGTTGTCAGTTTCCCAGAGCAGTGTGCTGGGAAACATTATCTCAAACCTGCCCTAAATGGGGAAACTGGGTAAATAATTACATCGGTATCCAGCCAGTGGAGCAAACATAGACTGTACCTTTTCAAATTTTGGACACAGTGGTTCCAAACTGAATAATCTCACCACTGTTTCAAAGTTCATCTTCTGCTGCAGAATGGAGCTTGGCCCCATGGGTCTGGTGGCAAAATCTGCACATTTCTGATTTCAGGTTTACAACTCTGCATTATTGTCACACTTCTGCGGGGCTACTTAACTTCGGAAGCCCCGCAGGCCACAGTGATACTCTCAGCACGTGCCAAGAGCCGCAACTTAAGTTTCATAGAATCATAGGACTGGAAGGGACCTCGAGAGGTCATCGAGTCCAGCCCCCCGCCCTCAAGGCAGGACCAAGCTCCATCTACACCATCCCTGACAGATGTCTATCTAACCGGTTCTTAAATATCTCCAGAGAGGAAGATTCCACAACCTCCCTTGGCAATTTATTCCAATATTTGACCACCCTGACAGTTAGGAATTTTTTCCTAATGTCCAATCTAAACCTCCCCTGCTGCACTTTAAGCCCATTACTCCATGTCCTGTCCTCAGAAACCAAGAGGAACAAATTTTCGCCTTCCTCCTTGTGACACCCTTTTAGATATTTGAAAACCACTATCATGTCCCCCCTTAATCTTCTTTTTTCCAAACTAAACAATGTTTAATGAGCAATGTCAGTTCAGGAATTCAACTACTAAAATGCATATCAACAGAAGACCATTATATTGACTCCTTCTTTGTTTTGGCTCCCAACCACAGGCCATGTTTTGAGCCCTGCGTAACCCAAACCGCACCGTGGACTGGGGGGGGGTCACATATTGAGTAGCCCTGCTCTCATGTAATCTAATGTTTTGACCGTTTTTATAAAGGCAGGGTGGTGTGTTCAAGTCCCGCCCACACTGGAAACTGAAATGAGACGTAATATATATATTTCCCTTGAGAAAATAGTCAACCAAAATGTCAACACTGCTATTCGGGATTATAATTCTAGATATTGCTATTGCGACCATTGCAGTTTTTCTTTTTATTTCTACAGCCCTAAATTAATTTCAAATCCGCCGTATGTGCTCACATGCGCTCCGGGCAGCACAGCTGTGAGCTCTGGCTGGGCGGTGCAGCTGTAGTATCACCAAACCTAGTGCTCCAAGTGGCGTGGTTAGGGTGGGGAGCAGGGAGGGCTCTCGGGGGAGTGGTTGGGGGTGGGGAGCGGGG